AAAATTACATTCTCATAGCAAGTGCTGGCTATGAGGAAAATTACAAAGCAATCCATCTAGGTCAAGTTCCTCTGGAGAACAGGTGAAAATAAAAATAAGTCACTATTCAACTCACAACCCATGTCATCCTTTAGATGTATGCACATGTGTTTTAATATTGCTTCATTTTTTAAAATTTATTTTTAATTACATGTATTTTTAATATTCATTTTATAAAGTTTTTAAACAATGGAAAAATAGTTCTGATATTGTAGCATATAACAGTTAAAATCATTCTAAAATGTTGGCTGACCCTAACAGAGAACAAAGCCTTGCAAAAACATTAATTAGTGACAACATATCTCTTAGATTATCCATTTTCGAAGACAAGAAAATTACAGACTCATTCTGTCAACCATATGTTTACAGATTTCCATGGAAAAGGTAATTGTCTTTCTAAAATATACATTTTAGCATTTATCTCTACTTATTAGTAAAATTTCTTGGAAAGAAAGTGTCCTGGTGGGGCACCCATCATTGGGGAACAAGACAGAGTGCTGACTAGCTGCTTCAGAAACAGGTAGCCAAGGGCCTGGAAGGCTTGAGAATTCACTAAAACAAATGTGGATTGATTGTCTATGACCAAAAACTTGACCACAGATAAGAAAAACTAGAATATAAAATGGAATCAAGTGTAGAATTTATTTTAATGTAAAACCAAATAGACTAAGTAAAATATATTATAAAGACCATTTTGTAATGAGATTTTAAAGCAGAAAGTTCCTTGGAAACTAATGCATTATACAGCTTATCAAAGAAGCATGCTATTAGTGATAGAGAGAATCCTTTCATTTCTAGTATGAGAACTATTATTCTAATGTGAAAGAAAAAGAGAGACCTGTATTAATAGATCTCTAAGGATCTAGTAAACCAGTACATGAAAAATATACTGAAAAAGGAAATTCATTTATTTTTGCCTGACAGAGAAATTGGATAATGTATTAAGCTGCAGGTCCAAGTTTGTGTTTTGTGTCATCAGTTTCCAACTTACATAAATAGGTTTTATTCTAAAATTTTCCAATGCAAGGTGGTTTATTAGTATCAAAATGTTTTTCTCTAGAAATAATATTCTAAAAGATGGATCACTTCACTGAATAACCCTTGTTTTGGCAGCCTCAACACCCCCCTCCCCTTACACTGTTTTCACTCCTAAATGTGAAGCAACATAGTGTAGCACAGGTTTGGGGAACAGAACATGGAAATATCCACCAGCAATGGTTATGGGCTAAATTCATGGCCTTAGGAAATTCACTTAATTTCTATTAACATCATTTTACTCATTTGAAAATGGAAATAATAATGACTCTCATAGGGTAGTTAGTTATGAGCATGAAGTAAGGCAAGGTTAGCAGACGCTCTTTGGCACTGCAATATCCTGCAAAATGTTAGTTATTAGTGTACTCCTGTACTCCTTGGTTCGGCTGCTCTTTGGATTTAATCACCCTGTGTAAACTATGTGGGAAACTGAGTGCTGTTTATAATGTGTCTACAGAGGGAAGTACATTATGTGGCAAGAGGGGCTGCAGTAGATCAAATGGTATAAAGCCCCAAGCTGTGCTGCTGTCCGCCAGCCATCTAGCTAACAGAAATATTTCTTCACCGCCTCTCCTCCCCTTTCCAGCTGTAGTGACCACTGTTTCCAAGAAAACAATATACTGTGTATCTATTCTCATTTCTCTGGTGAGCTCATAACCACTGTTTATCATATCATCCTCTTTGTTTTCCTAACTGCTTTGACTTTGTTCTCCACTTGTTTCATGTATATGAGGTTTGTGTCTTTTATTAGATCCTAAACTGTGCAAAGGCAAGACCCATATTTTGCCTTGGTAGACTCAGAGTACCCAGCAAAACTCTAGGCACAAAATCTGTGCTTGAAAAATGCTAGGTGGAAGGCAGGAGGGTACTTTCCAGGTGAAGAGAATGCTTTCATGAAGCTAGAAGGTGAAAAGGGCTTTGTTGCCTCCAAGGGGTATTAGCAACATTATAAGGATTGCACTGAGTAAGAAGGAAAGGCAGTAAGATCCAAACCACAGGAAGGAGTGGTAATGACTAGATAAAAGATCTATGAGCAATAGCCTAGCATGAAAGTTCTTGAGTAGCAAGTCATTTGATAAAAATTTTAAATAAAAGCAGTTTCTCAAGAAATGGAGACGTGCCATATATCAGAAGATTATAGAAATACAGTTTTTTAAAAATGAGAAAAGAGCCCTGGCTGGCATAGCTCAGTGGATTGAGCGCGAGCTGTGAACCAAAGTGTCGCAGGTTCGATTCCCAGTCAGGGTACATGCCTGGGTTGCAGGCCATGACCCCCAGCAACTGCACATTGATGTTTCTCTCTCTCTCTCTTTCTCCCTCCCTTCCCTCTAAAAATAAATAAATAAAATCTTAAAAAAAGGATCCCAATCAAACTAGGTAGGTTTCTGTTTTTTAAAAAAATGGGAAAAGAAGATAGAATCTGGTAGGAAGTTCATTTTAGGAGAGTATTATATACTGACCAAATCTAAGAAATGAAAGTCATTCAGGCTGCAGGGAAGGTTACTAATTCATCTTATTTGTCATCGGAACCACCTACAAATGGTAGATAATTATCTCTGCTTTCCAAATTTTGGGCTGTGTTAGCTCAGCTAAAATCTTAAATCATAATTACAAAATCTATTATTTTTGAATATGTGCCATGTGCCAAGACTAGTTCACCTGCCTTGTGTGGATTATAATACATTTAAGTACTACATTAACGTAATGATTTAGGAACTACTAAGGAAACTGCAGCTCAGAAACTTCTAATAACTTGCCCAAGGCTGTACTTCTCACAAGTGATAGAGCCAGGGTTTGAACTTAACAACCAGTATTCCTAAACTAGTTTTCTTAACCTCTGTCCACAACACCTCCCAGATATTTTTTTTAAGTTTCTTTATTTAGGTGGTCTAATTCCATGTGTTTTCATGGGGGTGAAAACATTTCCCTCTAAATTAATATATGTGCTGTGTACTTACCCCAATTCATTAAGATCACCCCTTATGCTTTCACCCTCTCCACCCCCTCCACTGTCCTGTCTGTTGGCCCTTCCTTTTTGCCTTACTTTTCATGCTTTATTCAGCAGAGAACATTGCACAATGACTCACTGCCCATTGGCAGTCTGTGGCTAATTTCTGTTAGGTGTTAGTGGGAGTCAGATAGCAAGGGGTCTGGCAAGTGAAGGGATCATATTAGTTTGGTTCGACGTTTGCCCTTTTCTGAAATCCAGAACTCATGATGCAAACCAGTGCCTCTTCTCCTGCCTGGCTTCTCACCAGCATTGTCTTTGAGACTACATATGCCCAGGCTAAAGTCAAGGTGTGTGACTCTCATCTCTCAGAGCAGGTCTGACAGGGAGCCCAAAAATGATGGGGGTGTGTGCAAATGCTACTACATGCTTACTGTGTACCAGCCTGGCTACCCTGTGTAAATTATTTTATATGATCTTCACAGCAGCCCTCAAGTGGGAAGTATTCTAATTATCTTAGGCAGAAACAAAGTGGGCCTGGTTTTAGAAAAATGCCCTCATTCTCACTGTTTTAAATGACAGAACAAGAATGCATTTCTAGTTTGTGTGATTTCAATGTCAATGCTCTTTGCACTGTATCAGTTACATCTCAAGGGCTGAGAGTCATCAGGGGTAAAGAGTTGTGGGACTGAAGCTCCTTCCGTGAACACATTTTGAAAATAAAATCTTTTCTTTTGGGAGCTATCACTAGGCTCTCTGCTGAACACTTTGCATGTTATATAAATCAATCTTTCTTAACTGTAGGAATTGTTAATGAATATGACTAAATGAATAAATGTACAAATAAGTAAATGAAAGTATGGAATCCATGTTTAATTTTGAGGGGAAAGCAGGAAGTTCTAAGTGTTATTGAAGTACATTAAATCTCATAGTAAAATAAAAATTATTTCTGCATTGCTGCATGTTTAACAAAGAGCGCAGCAATATTTTCTGTTTTGATAAAGCCAAACAGTCGTTCAATAAGGCGTTGATGAACAGTTGTGCTTAGTAGGGAAGATAAATAAACTTGGCCCTTCATAAAGATAGAGAGCATGTTTTTCAAGGCTTTTTTGAACATAACTCAAGAAATTGACATTAGATCTAGACTCTATGATCTTCTTGTTATAATTCTTTTCTAACTGAATGTCCAACAGTGTACCATTTCCCTTTGAGGTATATTTAAGAGTAGCAGAGGAAAACTCTCATTCTGATAATGTTTTAAGTCACTGCTCTTCTCTCTTAGGACACGCCATGTATATTTCCCGGTTCCTTGCTTTTGCTTTTGCACTTTGCTCTGTCCAAATGCTCTCCATCTTCCTTCCATGCCCCATCTGTCATCTCACACCCATGTTCTGAGTCACAGAGAGCCACCTAAACTGTTTCATTATCCACAAACTCCTCAGGAAAGAAATTAATCCTGGCATTTAGGCCTATATCATAGTACTTTCCCCAAGCCATCCTAGTCTCCATTAAATTGCTTTAGCATGCCAAGCTCTTTCCCATGGTAGGGCTTTATGTTTTCAGTTTCCTCTGCCTGTGTGTTAGGCACTCAGGGGAAACCGTGATTTGTTTTCCCTTTCACTCAGAATATAACTGTCTAGTGAGAAACTACATTTCCTACTTTCCCTTTCATCAAGGTGTAGCGGTATTACAAAACCGAATGGATACAAGTGAAAATGATTATCTCATTTAACCCTTTTAACAACATATAGAGAAGTCACTAATTCTATCATTATTCCACTTCACAAGGAAGATACGGTTTACAAAGTTTTTAGAAGCCTATTCTAGGACAGTTCTAGGACTTCTATAATCGAGATCCATGTCCTAGTGAATGACGACCACACCAAGGCAGGCCAGGTCCATGGTAGCCCATGGCAACATCCCGCTGACCTTCCTCTATAAGGACAACTTCAGGTCATCTATTTAAAATCCTTCCTAGATGTCCATCCCCTTGCTGGTTGGAAATGGTGACAATGGAACAACTAAAGAAGTCCGCAGGTGAGGACAACAGACCTGCCCTTTCAGCCTGGCCTCTCCGTGACTTGACTGAGCAGAGCCTGACTAATGACCTGGGGCTGTTAAGTGACAAAGAAATAAACTTCTGTACTGGTGAGTCATTGAATTTTAGAGTCCATTTATTAACCATTATCTCCAACTAATACACCCTGAAGCACTTTTCAACTAGTAATAAATGCTACTGGTATTTCAGGTCTCAGCTTAAATATCCCTTCCTCAGAGAGACTTTCCAAACCTCTGGATCTAGACAGTTTTTCCTTGTACATCCTAATGTATGACCCAGCTTTTTTCTCTTAGAAATCTCAGCACCATCTAGAACTATTTTTCACTTTTGTGGTTATTTGTTTCTCTCCCTCACTGGATTGTAAGCTCCACGAGTTCAGGGATCACGAGTGCTTATTCCTTGGCATTGACACACTGTCTGGCTCTGACCTGACATTCAGTAAAGATTTATTAAGTAAATACAGCTCATAGTAATAGTTTGGAAAATCATTGCCATTGAATGTTGAGAATTTGTAAGAGTTAACTGTTTTAGATACAGCACTTCATTTAAGTTTCTCAACAACATATAGAGAAAGCACTTAATAATAATACAATTGCCCCATTTTTCTAGGATAAAGCAGGTTTAGCAAGCTTCCACCACTCATGCAGGGCTGCACAATTCAAAGCTTATATTTTCAAGTAGGGACTGTGCTCCATTCTCCTGTATCTCTAGACAGTGTGGTTAGCATGAGTCAGGTACATAGCACCAGGCAGCCCTAATTGAAAAATCCATGATTATACTAATTGAGATTCAAATCCTAGTGAATTATGACCAGACCACAGCAGGCCAGTTATAATAATAACAGGCCTTAATGCCCAGCTCACCTTCCTACATAACTGCAACGCTTACCCTCTTGTCTGTGTGTGACTGCAACAGCGATACCGTTTATCATTGAAAAACTGTTCTCTAAAGCAGGGGTGATCAACGTTTTGGCATCTCTGAAATCCGTTTTCAAATACTTGCATCAAATAAAAAAGCAAGGCTGCATATTTTTCCCTGTTCACAAGACTGTTTTTAGCCAATGTGTTGAAATGCATAAAATTGTTTGCCTTAATTTGAGCTTGCCATAATTTCAGTTTCATTTGGAACACTGTTATGGTTTGAAACATGGTATTGGTAAGTTGGGTTTCACCTTGAAAAGCGTGTGTTTAACTCATTTAACTGAGTGGTTAAAAAATACTAAATCTGTAAGCCAGTTTTTATCATCAAGTTTCAGCACAAATTTGTTTTTTGATACCATAAACAACTTGATAACATGTTACAAATCAAAAATCTTTTCAACATTTGGCTTCTACTTCACCATCTTACTTTTGAAAAGTAAATGATGTTGCCATAGTCACCATCCATACTTTTAAGGAATTCCTGGAATTGGCGATGATTCAGTCCCTTGGCTCTTACGAAATTCAGTCTTGATGATGATTTGTATGATGTTATCCATTTTTAATGCTTTTGTGCATACATTTTCTTGATGTATGATGCAATGATGACTTTTGGGCTGCAATTGCATCATCTCCTATTAATTTTACAAGTCCTTCTCTTTTACCTACTATCACCAGGGCACCATCAGTCACTATACCAGATATGTTGACAATGGACAAAGAAAATCGCTTTAACATATTTTTTATGGTTCATATAAATCTGTTGATTTAGTTGTGTCTTTTAATGGCATTAAAGAAGCCATTTCTTTAATGGCATTGTGTTCATCATTAATACCTTTAATAAAAATGGCAAGTTGAACCAAATCCGTAGCATCAGTGTTATCATCCATCCTCAAAGCATAAAGTTAAAAATTAGCAGCTTTAGTGTCCCAGGTTCGATTCCCAGCCAGGGTACATTCCTGGGTTGCAGGCCATAACCCCCAGCAACCGCACATTGATGTCTCTCTCTCTCTCTCTACGCCCCCTTTCCCTCCCTAAAAATAAATAAATAAAATCTTAAAAAAAAAATTAGCAGCTTTACTTTCTAAACTTCTTTCGATAGATTTTCCAGTTTCTTCAATTTGCCTGACTATAGTCTGGTGAGAAAAACTGATTTTAGAAATAGCCCCCTTTTTTTCAGGGCAAATTATATCTGCCACACCTTCTATATGTTGCTTAATATACTCACCAGCAGTAAATGGTTTTGATGTTTTGCTATGAAATATGTGACTATATAACTAGCTTTTACAATGGAGTCTGCCCAAATTGTAACTATTTGAAAAAACTTTTGTTGAGAACACAGACTTTTTTCAATTCCACCATCTTGTCTTTACAACACAATACTTCAAAAGCACTGAATTTGGCGGCATGCTTTTGCATGTAATGCCTTTTTCAAATTATTGTCTTTGAAAACTCACACAAATTCCCTACAAATTAAGCAGACTTCCCTAATAGTTGCCATGACAAAAAAGTAGTGATCTGTCCACTTTTCATTGAACAATCTTCCTTCATTCATAATTTTTCTTTCAGGGAGGGGGCGTTCTTTTATCTTTTGAGATGTTTAGAAGCCATGCTGGGACTTAAAAAATAATAATAGAAAGGGACTTTATTTACTTGTATTATGAAAATTAATTAACAGAAAAACAGAAAGCAAGGTTTGGACCCTTCTACAGCCCTCTCGGCTTCTGATGCAGGGTGAGGCAAACGGCTTATTGTAAAGCATGGCAGGCACCGCTGAGGTATAGAAGTACCTTTCACAATCAAGTAAGAATGCTTACCTGACTTCTAAATAACATTAAACACTAAACATTGCAATGGTAGGTTGAAATATTGTTGATAATCACTGCCTAGCTAAGTCACCATAAGCGTACATAATTTCTGATGGTGTCAATTCTACTGTCTGTGCTTGGAAGACACACTGGCCACCTCACACCACCATAAAACTGAAGCCATGCATGCTTACAAATAGCGAGGGCATATGTACATGTATTTTACATAACATTGTGAAATGTAACCACAAAAAATCTCATAATGTTTTAAGTAAATTTTGTGTTTGGCCACATTCATAGCCATCCTGGGCCACATGTGGCCCACGGGTCATGGGTTGGATGCCCCTGCTCTAAAGCCTGTGTAGTTTATTCAAGATGTGGCATAAAGAAACATTGTTCTGAATTCTATGTAACTTCCAGAGAGACAACCACAAGATTTTAAAAATTATTTTCTTTTTTGTTTTGAATAAAAAAATTGATCTGAAATTTATTCATATTTCAGAGCTAATAATAATTCTCTTATTGCATGTTTGTTGTAAACAAACCCTTCACACACCACATAGGCCAAGCCAAGAGTTTAATAGTGAGCAGGGGAAAAGATCTTTCTAAGTATAAAATAACTAGTATAAGAAAAGATCAGGAGAAACATTGAATCAGGAGTCAGGGCACAGAGAGTCTAGGTCTGCACTGCCCAGTGTGGGAGCCACCACCCACAGTGGCTCTTCACATTTTAATTTACATTAAATAAACATTAAAAAATTAATTCCTTAGCAACATTAGCCACCAGCCACATCTTAGGTGTTTAGCAGTCACATGTGCCTAACAGCTTCTGTACAAGACAGTGCAGACTTATAGAACATTTCCATTACCACAGGAAATTCCTTAGGACAGTACTACTCTAGACTAGTAACTTTTTGTTCTTGAGATCCTTAAAATGCTTAAAATTTACTGAGGATAGCCAAGAGTTTTCTTAAAAATATGAATTATAACTAATAATATTTATTTTATCAGAATTTTAAACAGAAACATGTAAATACCAACTTATATTCCATTAGCCATCAGAACAATGAGATCGTCATAATCATGTGGTCTCTGAAAAACTCCATTATGTACTCTGAGAGAATCAGGGGGCAGGAAGGCAAATAACATCTTAATATTGCCAAATGTTGCAACCTTACGAACACCCTGAAAGGGTGTCAGGGCCTCCTAAGGGTCCCCACATCACACTTTGGAAACCACTGGTCTAGATTCTACTACGTCCCTCCCTAGTTTGCTTGTTCCCTTTTCTTCTAAATGCCATGGTGCTTATTTTGCCCAAACAAAGATAAATGTTATGCCAAGTGTGAAATGTTTGGCAAAGCAAAATAAAATAATCTGAGTTCTTTATCAAACCAGGGTTCTTTGAGTGGAAAGAAATGCAAACTCTTCTATCCAAAGACTAATTCTAACTGAATTGAGGCCTAACAGCCTAATATGATGAATATATTAGCTATGATTGGAATTAAATGAGGTTTAATGGTATCCCTAAACATGTATAAAATTTACAGCGGCTCAGAATGAGCAGCCTCAGGCAGCAACTTGGTATTTATATTTTGAATTCTTCCATTAAAATTTGTGGCCACCTTCATGTCACCATGTTAGATAGAACCTCTTAAAAGATCATTGTGCAGTATGAATAGTAAATTCAAAAATTATCGTTTCAAGTCTGACCTAAGACCATTAGAATTATTTCAGAATGTTTGGTTTTAGACAAAATAGTCATAGGTTCTTTCTGCTTTGTCCTAAAAGTACAAAAATATTACACAATGCTATAAACATCTTGATTTTCAGAATAAAGACTTTCTCTATCCACCTATTATTCCTAAAAGTAAAATTGAATTGCTGATAAAGCACATTATAATACTTTAACCATAATAGATTTTGCAAAAATGCCTTTAGTAAAAACTGTCTCATTTCTGGGATTTTATAAATGTTCACTCTGGTAATATTCTGAATCTGGATGATTTTAATGAGAAAAATCTCAAAAAAGATTCCACAGATTTTCCTGGTGTCTGTGGTTCAAGTTACCCCTGGCTATGTTGCCTTTTTATGTCAGGGCATGATTTTGAGGGACGTAAGGGAAGGAGAGGAAAGGGAGATTTCTCACTGCAGTGGTAAAGGGTAGAGCCAGTTGTATCAAACATTTCACCAAGTGCAGTTGTTGCTTTTCTGAAGATTTCCTGCTAGTCATTGGCAAGAGAACTTGTAACTGATCTCTCCACTCTGAGAGTGACCAAGTCTTAATTTCTTCTCTTCTTCTAGATGACACGAGTTCACCTATCAAACCCTTCAAAAATTTTTGTCTACGTGAGCTGAGTGTATACACCAAATAAGTGTGACCTTTGACACAACCAAAGGAAATTTCCTGAGTGATGCTCTTCAGTTGTGTTGCTGGATGGATCTGTATCCACTTTCAGCTCCCTTCAGGATCTGAGGTGGGGCTACCACTGAAGGCTGTGGAACATAGGGGACCTTCTTCATACATGATTGTAAGAGAAAGAAGTCATCTCTGTGAGTTCATACCAGCCTGGCTCCTTCTTGACTGTAAGCCCAACCTCAGAATGAACCAGAAATGGGCACAATTTTTCTATTTTTGGTCTGGACCTCATTTATTTACTTCCTCAGCTTTGCTTTGGAAAAACTCCTTAAGAAAACCACACCAATGTATACTCTCTTACTGTGCCTGGGAACACACACTGCTTGACATCACATGGTAGTTTGACCACACAAAGGGCTAGGAGACTGCAGGATCCTTTCATGTATACTTTTTGATAATAAAATCTCTCCTTTTGTGAGCTATCACCAGGCGCCAGGCTCTTTGCTGAACAATTTGCATGTTATCTAAATAAATTCCTCATAGCTCTAGGAAATAGGTATTGTTATTATTTCTAATTCACTGAGAAAGAGAAAGTCTCAAAAAGATTAAGAAATCATTTACCTGGAATTGGACACCGGGTTATCTGTTTCCGGGTCCCTTGCTCTTTTTCCCAGGTGCCTTTTGTAGGCTTAGCATAAACCAGGTGTTTTTTGTTCACGTATGTTTGCTTCTTTCCAAAGTGTGTGTGTGTGTGTGTGTGTGTGTGTGTGTGTGTGAACATAAATGTAGTGCTTATTAAATGTCAGATTGTTCTAGACCCGTTGACATGAATTACTTCATTTAACCCATACAACAACCCTATGAAGAAATTATCATAATTATCCCATCTTGATTTGAAAAGAGAAGCTCTGTAAAATGTTACCTGTATTGTACCACTGCAAATTAATATCTGTCTAGCACATTGCAATAAATTAAATCCAAGGACTTCTAAAGAACTCTTAAATAATATTTTTAAAATCATCGCAAACAGAATCAGTCTTATGCTAAAATTTGTATTTGATGTGCACCAAGTCTTGCTTTGGCTTCTTAACAGCATTTTTTCTCTCTTTCTAATTGATGACTATGACATCCCTATGTTAGAGAGATTTAATAAGCATCCTTCCTTTATGGCCAGTGCCATTCTCTTGCAAAGATGTCAGATGAAGTTGTAGTTCAAACTGGTTAGAACATCTCCTATCTCCTGCACTTTTTTGAATCCCCCAGCTCCAAATGTCATTCTATCCCCTTAAGCCAGTCCATACTTTTGTCATGCTTATTCACCTAATTTTTATGGTTGGAGATTACTGGCAGTTAAGGCAACGTGAATTTCTTGTTTTATGCAAATGATTTCCTCCCTTTTCCACATCATTTCACATATTATCATGCAGTTTGTCATTCAGTCTTGCCTGACCACATCTGAATAGAATTATGCTCCTTGGGAGCCAAAATCCTTCTTTCCCTGTGAACTAAAGCTACCTTATGAGTTGTATGAAGTAGCTTGAGGAAACATGTTTATTATCACAAGTTGAACTAATAATGTGATTAAATGTTCCAGCCACTGAGCCCTTTAGTTTTGCACATTCCTTGATGTAAACTAGTTAAGTGGAATGTGAGGGGAAAGGCTTGGGAACTTTTTTTTATTGCTCAAGAAGATTCCTGTGGCAAGTGAGAAATGTGGGAAAAAACCAAAGTTATTGTTCAGTTGGTTTCTCAAGCAATACTTTGAAATCTTTTTCAATTAAATAAATCTTAAATGCCTGCTTTGTGCAAAGCGTAAACTAAACAGTTGCTTCAGGGGATAATGCATGCTACCTGCCATTAAGAATCTAACATGATAAAATCCTGAGTGTATTCATGAGTAATAGATAGGACAGGGTCAGAGAAGTGGTGTGTGGTTTTAAAGAAGGAAGAAATCACATATGTATGAGATAAACAAGAAGAGCATAGTGGAAACAAATGGCAGAGCTTTCAAAACATAGGTAAACTTTTCTCAAGTACAGATGGGATTGAGACTTGTGGTTTCCGATAATGTCAGGCTAGGTTATTGGGAGTCACAGTCCCACAGAAAATAGAGATTTGATAAGATATTTTTAAGTATTTTAAAAGTTGCAAAAGCCCAAAATACAATGAATTATTAGATCAAGATTTGAAGAAAATCAGTAGCTCAGAATATAAGTGGAGCAGGGAAGAACCTTTTTTTCCTAAGAAGATTTGTTAATTCTCCAAAATAGGAACTTTAATTTTGATCTCCCACCTATGACCAGCCTAATAAAAATTGCTTTCAAAAAGTTCATAACTTAGGAGGATGCACAGACAGAATAAAAAAAAAAAAACAAGTGTAAACTAGCCCTCAACCATATTGCACATTGAATGGTTAAGTCCAGGTAATATTAAACCTCAAACTTTAAGGTTTAAGGTGGACTTGGACTGGTAGTGATCTGGAGCACAAGTCAACTTGGAGAAAGAATGAGCAGCTTACAGGAACTCAACATCAGGTTCAATACACTGTGTTTACTGCCAGTAAGTATATGACCACATCCATGTAGAAACTGAGTGTGTGTATGTGTGTTGGTGGCACTATAAAATGATACTTTACTTGTAGCTTTTACTTTTTTTTTAAACTGGTACCGTTAATGACCAGGAATCTGCCTGCTTTTGTAATTTTCTCAGAATAAAGTACTGGGTGAATATTTAAATCAAGAATATCCTGTTTACACATCTTTCTTACCATGAAATAGTTTCTTTCATAGTATTCAACATTGAGTAGTGAGCCCTTTCAAAGAATTTCTATTTTCAAAATATAGTAACCATGGATCATTATCTTTTCAGAACTTGTAAATAAAAAGGCAATTTTCCTTAGAGGGTATGACAGACATTTCCCCTCAATCATTTGGACTGTTGTGAGATGTCACATATCTGGTGCATTCAGGCTGTAACCAGGATCATTAGCCACTTGAAATATATGAGTATAAAATACAGAATATGTTTTTCCTTTCAATCTCCATTGCTGGATCATCTTCAGTTTTCTGACTCCTAAATGCTGGCCTGGGCCCAAGTCAATCCTGTGACCTCTTCTCAATGGACCTACAATCAAGACCGAGATTACTTTACCCACTACTTCAGCTTTAGTTACCACTCGTATTCTGATGATGCTTCCATGAGTATCATCACCTTTCCTCTGGGCATCTGAACAGATGTGGCAACTGTTCTGCAATTCAACATAGATGCTTAACAGGCATTTCAAATCCTGCTTGTCCAAAAAGAACTCTGTTTATCCTCCAACACAAACTTACTGATCCCCAGTCTTTATTTAGTAAAAGGCACCACCATTCACTCAGTTGCTAAAACCAGAACTGTGTTGCCTGCCTTGGTGCTTCACTTTTTTCACACTCTGCACCAAACCCATCAGCAAATCCTGTTGACTCTATCTTCAGAATATATTACTCATTCAATATTTCTCACTCCTCCTGTTGTTAACTGCTTAGTACAAGCCACGATTGCTGTGTGTGTCATATCTAATATAACAGCCACCAAACTTGTCTCTTTGCCTCCACTCTTGCCCTTCCATCCTCAGTCTTCTCTATGATCAGGGGTGTCCAAACTTTTGGCTTCTCTGGGCCACACTGGAAGAAGAAGAGTTGTATTGGAGCACACATTAAATACACAAACACTAATGAAAACTGATGAGCAAAAAAAGGTTTTAAGTAAATTTATGATTTTGTGTTGGGCTGCATTCATAGCCACCCTGGGCCACATGTGACCTGTGGGCCGTGGGTTGGTCGCCCCTGCTACACTCTAGACAGACTGATATTTTAAAATAAAACAAAGCATCTTTCTCTCTTACTCTCAGTCTTTCAATGGCTTCCCACTACACTAAGAAGAAAATCTAAACTTTTTTTCCACGGCTGCAAAATCCTTTATTAGAGTCCCTGGCTACCTCTCCAGCTTCATTGTGAGACTTCTCCTCTCACTTATTCCACTATTTCAACCTTTATTTTCTTATTCCTCCTTACACTTGCCACTTGCAGTTTCATTCAGGAATGTTGTTCCTGCTCTTCCATCTGCCAGGAACGTTCTTCCACTAGACAGTCACATGACTTCTTCTCTCATTTTAATATTTTTTCTGTTCAAATGACACCCCTTCTCATAAAAATCTTTCTGGAATATCCTAGCAATTTCCTTGCCCATTTTTGTTTTTTTCTTTGCCTTATCTCACCTTTCTATTTTTGAAAAATATTTTATTTATTTAATTTTTAGAGAGGAGGAGAGAAGGAGAAAGAGAGGGAGAGAAACATCAATGTGTGGTTGCCTCTCACACACCCCCTTACTGGGGATCCGACCCACAACCCAGGCATGTGCCCTGACTGGGAATCGAATTGGCTACCCTTTGGTTCACAGGCCAGCACTCAGTCTACTGAGTCACACCACCCAGGGTTCATTTTTCTAATATAAATATTAAACTATATCATAATATAACCTAATATTATGTTATACATTCGTTTATTTGTTATTGTCTTGCCTTCCTTGCTTGCATATCAGCAACACCAAGACAGAGCTCATATATCTTCAGTTTCTAGAAGTCGGCCAGGCAAATGGAGGCACCTAACACATATCTGTTGAATTATAGAATAAATGAATGAATGCAAGAGTGCCAGATTCTTAGGTTACATGGAATGGAGTTTTTATTTACTAAAAAACTTTGAACTGGCTTGGTCCCAGGTACTGAAAGAATCTGTTTTCTCTCCATTTTCTAGAATCTGGCTTTGGAAACTAGTTAAACTTAATAAAAGCAGTTGTTTGTTCATTTTACATAGCAAGATTACTAACTATCTCCATCTTATTGCATCTCCTGTGGTGATAATAACAGAAACTACCTACTTCATAGGATTGCTGTGGAGATTAAATAGTAATATGTAAGTGTTTGAGAAGCTGGCATATATAGCAAATGCTCAATAATTATTATTTATTGCCATTAATACTATAGTTGTTACTTTAAGTTTAGAGTTTCTGTGTATATTTATTTTAAACAGGAATGGGTTACTCTCGTTCTGTGTATCTGGCATATGGGGACATTCATTAAATGTTACCTTAGTATTTACTCCATTTGATATAAACTGCTCTGTTCTCACTTTATATGGAGGTCTGGGGCCACAAAAATAACTGCAAGCTGTGAGTAGGCAAAAGTGATCGTAATAATTATGGGAAAAATTCAATTTTTCTATTACCCTTAAAATTTGTGTCAAAACATTAAAATCTCTCTTATTATCAATTATAAATGTATAGGAAAATAAAAATAATGAAACTAAAGCTTATTTAGTACACTGTAATTTTAAATTTTACAAACAGTGAGTATGAACATATTTTATTCTTTGTAAAAAAGCTTTTTAGGAGTAGCTAAAACAGAGCTTGTCTTCTTGTTGTACAACTAATTTTTTTCTACACTGTGGCTGTTAGGTTCCTATCGAAATTTGAATCTGCATTTAACATTTTATCCTTTATCCTCTGAAGTGACTTTATTTTATTAAGTAATTAATTAATTAATTTCTGCCTGCATCAATTCCTTTGAGATATCCTCATCCTTTGCATCACAGCCACTGTCCTCATTGATGTCCATAAATTCACCTTCGCTCAGTTCCTCTGGCTGCATCATTGGAATTTCTGCAAAGGCAGCAGCATCAACATTCCCATGGTCTGCTATTTCTTCTAGAAGTCCATTTATGTTTGACTTTAATTTCACTCCCAGATTTATCATGTTTCACTTAATTTACAGCACTTTGTACTTTGTTGGCCAATTCCTTCTTCTGATGATCCATTTGGGGAAATATTACATGTGTTTTTACTACAGGGAAGACAGGGAAGCATCCCAGCTCCCCTCGTGGCTGTCTGTGTGCACACTAATAGCAGGTGTGCAATGACCAATCACATCGACAGACTTTGTAAGAAGTGCTGTGATTGGTTACTGATCACGATGTAGATCTGTTATTTCCATAGGGATTTTTACAATTGCTTATAGTTGATGATA